GGGCAGCGGGTACTGCGTCTGGTGCGAAAGGCGGAGAGCCTCTCCCAGCCAGGCAGCGAGATCAGAGTGGTGGACAGCGGGGACGTCAGGGTGGAGGACAGCCGGGAGGTCAGGGTGATGGGACAGAGGGAGGTCAGTGGTGGGACAGCGGAAGCTCAGTGTGGTGGGACAGTGAGGGTGTCGCAGCAGTGCGGCAGGAGAGGTAGTCCCAGTGGTGGGCGTTGGAAAGTTCACTGTAGGACTCCGATGGTAACATTGAGGAGGTCGTACTGGTAGGGTGGTGAGAGGTTAAAGGGTGGTGCGGAGAGAGGCAGAACGTTAGGACAGTAGTAATGTCACAGTAGTGCAACAGTGGTCGCAGTGACGGGACAAGGAGGTCAAGTGGTGGGACGATGCGACGTCAGGGTGCTCGGGACTGAGAAGGGGCAATCTTACGTCTCTGTTGTCCCTCTCGGCTATTAAATCTCTGTCTCTGTTCTTGGAATGACGATTTTCTGATACCTCAGTTGAGACCAGGGACAGAGTTGGAGAGTAACAACATGGCGACACCATTTGGGAAGATAAAATGCCATTGACCGTAATGAACATGCACTGAATGGTGCCACTAAATTTGAAAGGTCTACAGTTCAACAACAATAACGTACTAGTCTCTCGGCTATCAATTGGAGGCTGATGTAGAGGTGGAGATGACAAAATCCGTCAGACTGTTGGCGTCTCAGCACATTAAAAGGACGAAAACGACGTCTTTAATCGCGAGCCACAGTTTGCCGTGCAGGATGCCCGCTCTCAAACTGTCCCGCCTTGAAACACCCATCATGTGCCAACGCGCCGCACCACAACTCAGTGTTCACACTCAGGCCGCTTGATGTAACTGGATCTAATTACCACATGGCTGGTTCAACTCGATAATGAAAAGCCTTCTGAAGTGCGCCACATCAGCGCTTCATGGTCAGTTTGCACTGTGGCAGCTAGGCTCCGCGGGGCTATAAAGCCGGGCGATGTTGGCGCGGGTCCGCTGGGACTGAGCGGCACGGATGGAAAGGCGACACGACCCGCGCACAGCGGCACCAGGCGCTGCGGAGAGATCCTTCGGACAGCGGCACCGGCCCGCTGCGGAGACATCCCGTAGACAGCGGCACCGGCCCGCTGCGG